TCCTCTTATTCTCACGTTCAGTCATGTTTCATTCAGTTGTTTTTGTGTGCACTACAATGGGAGGAAGGCTTTGAGGAAGATTCTGTATCTACTGCTGGAAAATAAACACATTTTATTGAGTTCTTTCAAATCCAAACTGAGGGTACTTGAAGCCGACTCCACTCCACACATTTGTTTTTCAAACTCAGACCACGACTGCAGGTCAATTCTGTGGTTTGATTTTTCCCATATCCATTATATTATAATTCAATTTAGCCTCATTTTGCTTCTTTGATTTCGTTTTCATTTCCCTTTAACTCCAGATCGTATACAGTATCGTTAACGGAAAAAGAGGTTTTTGAAAACATTTAAGCCACCAACAAATATTCAAAAACCTAAGATTAAAATCAACAGCAGGAGCTGTGTTTGTTCCAGAAGAACAGAAACACAATGTCGCTTTTTCTCTCATTAAATTCTCAAGGTTCACGTGACTGAAGTTTGAAGTCATATTATTACAAACACCTTTGTGTAAATCTGTCTGTGAGAACGCCAACATCCTGCTTCTATCACCTCTTTTTTCTTTAATATCTGCTCGATCGTTTTCTCTTTGATTTCTCGCGGCTCTGTCTCAGACTCTGTGCTTCGTATTTTCTTCTTCTACATCTGTTTGTACGATGTTGTAAAGAAAAACTACACTCAAATACATTCACACATTTCTCAAAATCGAGGCTCAGTAGCGTCCTTCTAGGCTGCATTGATTTCCTCTTCCTCTCAGCTCCCTACTTCCTCAAATTTGTAGCGGTGAAGATAAACCTTTTGAAACCGTCTTTGTTCAATGCTCCGGAGCCAAAGTGAGACGTCAACGCGGTTGTTTTTCTCTTTTTCTTTAAGATAAAACATCCAATATTCCCAACAGTGGAAGCTAAAACGGGAATAAACCCTTGCTGAAATAACAGAAACTTTTATTGACAGTAAAAAGAGAAGAGGCAGGAGTTGATTGTAAAGTCGACAGATAAATGCTGCAGCGAGCTCCTCTTTTCCTCCAGAATTGGCAGTAAAGGGAGTCTGGGCCACAGCCAAGAGCAGAGAAACCGAGGAACTGGTCGGCATTTAGGTGATGAAGGATTGGAGGCAGAGCTGCAGCGAGAACTGCCAAGTCAGGGAAGTACAGACGGAGCAGCTGAGTCCTCAGAGCAGACCCGAGAATCCTGACAGGAAATCATCGTCTGAACTGTGTTACTGGTCTAAACTGGTCGGTGACATCACAGTTAATGTACGGTGATGGGATTTTAAACAATTTTTCTAACTGTGATTTTTTTTTTGCTTATAAAGGTCACAGTGATTGTCTGGTCAGGATTTTAGATTTTAGAGGTTTTTTCCACATTCTATACAAAAAAATTCCATCCTCTCTTTTTGGTACAATGTTGTTCCCCAATTATATGCATACATACAAGCGCACACACACATATACACACACATACATACATATACATTCAAACTGAGATGAACTGTTGAATTCACCTGCTCGACAGTCAGTGAAGTCACTCCAGCGACCAGCGGTTATTTAAATTAAACCACATCTCTGTCCCAGTGCCATCCACCCAGTGCAGATGGCGGCGTGGAAAACCAAACGTGTGCCAAAGCGTTCGTCGGCGTGCAGAATGACGCACCATCTGCTGAAGCGCCGTCACCCTCACAGCTTTGTTTGTCCCCCGGCAAAAACGAAAAAAAAAAAGAAAATATATCGACGTTGAGTTGTTGTTGACAATAAGACAGCTTTAAAAACTGGTGGAGAAATATTGAGACATCTGTAGTCGGCGGCTTCCATCGGCAGGACCTGAACGTCTCTGACTCACTTCCACAGCTGTCAGAACAATCTGCCACGACAGAACTTTCGTTTCGAGATGAAAGCGATCTCCGCCGTCTGTCAAACGCCTGCTCTGCAAACCTGACTCGTTACTTTAATGTGGATTTTATCCCCGCGTCATATAACGGCAGGTCGATCCCGGTGGCTTCCGAGAGTCATTTGAAATCCAATGACACCCAAGACAGAAGGACGGACTGAGTTTGTGCCCAGAGAAGTGCGGAGGCCTGGACACGGTCCAGTTAGAACGGTTAAATGGAAGCCATAAAGACAACAAGAGGGAGAGCAGTAAAAGGGGAGAAGAGAGGAGCTGTTGATGGAGCCGTATGGCGCCGGCCCACAGCGTTTATCACACTCATTTAATGCAATTTGGGAAAGAACATCAGGCATTTTGTTTGAGGCAGATGTCATTTTAACAGGCTGCAGAGTAAACGCAGGATTATTGATTCGTTTTCTCCTGCACAGACGCCGATACAATGTACACAAAGAAGAAGTAAGCAGTACTTCAAACTCAGAGTACGTCGGTGCTAAAGTACATTTTATTATAGACTAAATTATTGCTGGTGTAATAATGTCAAGAACCTGATGGTGAAATATGCAACACACGAGGTTTTTAATTCAACCATTTCAAGAGTGAGTTGTTAAAATGTTATGGTTTTTAAAGTTTTATCGTCAAACTCGACATTTAATAGTTTGGTTTTACGCTTTTTTGTTTTGTTTTTTTTATACACAAATGCTTCTTGAAAAATGACGTTTAATAAGTAATAATTCACAGATTTTTTTTTCTTAAATATTATATTAATTTTTCATTGTTTCACAGTAGTTTTTATTTAATTCAAAAGTTTTCTGAAACATTCTTTTTTTTTTTATCCTAAATTGCGTTTCTACTCCATCGGGTTAAACAGTGATTCCATGAAGACCCCGACCAACCAGGACCTCTGGTCAAACTTAAACCTAAGTGATGGAGACAGTTAGCATGTTAGCATGTTAGCATGTCCACAAACTCTGGTTCAGCACAAACTCTCTCTAATAACGTGCTCCAGTTTAGAATCCTGGGATCATTAGCAGTCAAACGAGGACTTCATCACTGAGCCAAAGTAACGATTGGCCTCTAGGACTGATCTGGGAACGACCGACACACACACACACACACACACACACACACGGTGAGGGAGTCAAAACCTCTTTCTTCCTCTTTTTCTCCTTTTCTTTTCATCTGCATTTTCCTAAAGCAAAGGAGCTGAAGTCTTTGAAAAACGACCTGAGAGAGAAGAGCAGTCGACCTCAGGGGCCCACGGTATTTATAGGCAAAAGGGCTTCAAAGCTCCCAGAATCATTCAGGGGAAGGTGTTAGGGTGAGGGTGAGGGTGAGGAGAGGGGAGGAAATAAAATAAAATAAAATAAGATGAAAAAAAAGAAGGACGGTCGGAAGGAGAGGAGAGGAGAAGTTGAGGATGGAAAGATGTGAGAGGGAAAGGTTAAGAACAAAGAAGAAGAAGAGAAGTAGTACACGTCCATACTGTATACTGTAGTATTTGTTACCACTGTATTTGTTTACAGTACATACTGCAGTGTTTTCCTCTGAGCCGCTGCTCTGTCTCGCTGCTGTTATTGAGTCCTGGCTGAAGGCAGTGGACGTTGTTTAATTAAGTCAATGTGTGCGCTGCAGATCACAAACACGTCAACATCAACCTTTTCCTCTCCCGCTGTGTGCCTCTGCATCCAGGGGGCGTCATCTCTCCTGCTGACCTCCGTATTACATATTCTCACCACATACTACACTGTCATCTGCAAACATCACGCTCCATAGCGCCTCCTGCCTGACCTCATCTGTCAACCTGTCCATCATCGGTGGCAAACACACTGATATAACACTACTGCTACCTTGAACCCATCAGTAACTCTGACAGCACACCTGACTACAGTCTGGCAGGCCTAGTACAAGTCTTTCACCACCTTCACATACTCCTCTGCCGCTCCTGACTGCCTCACAGACTGCCACAGTTCTTCCCAAGGCATCCTATTATACCCTTTCTGTAAGTTGTGGGGGTGAGAGGGAGGGTGGGGGGGGGCACAGAAAGTAGGACGCAATGAAAAGTGTAGTACTATAGACTAAAATAAGTACAAGTTTCAGGTCAGTAGCTCACAATAAGAGGAGCAACTACACACACACACACACACACAAAAGGACCAACATTAAGACATAGACATGTCTGATGCCGATGTCCTGGTGTCCACTACACACACACACACTTCCTCCCTCCCTCCCTCCCTCCCTCTCTGTGTCTCTCACCCTCATTTCTCCCCGCTCCGCTCCTGGCTGCGTGCAAATCCATTCAGTGTGAAATGGAAAGCAGCTCACCGTCACACACTTTCATTTCAGCTTCTATTCGCTTCGTCTCGGCGTGTGAGCGCGTGCTGCTCCGCCACACAATTCAGCGGAGGTTACGAAAAATCAGTCCCACAATCTGACGCACGGGCGACACGTGTGGAGATCGGCGTCGCCGTTCGCTGACTGTTGAACAATTCCATTCCAAATCTTCAGTTTGGAGAAATGTCCCGGTCTGCCTGGAGCGTCCAGTCTCTCCACAGAAACACAGACTGGTCTACAGACTGGTCTACAGACTGGTCTACAGACTGGTCTACAGACCGGTCTGCACTACAGAGAGGTCTACAGACTGGTCTACAGACTTGTCTACAGAGAGGTCTACAGACTGGTCTACAGAGAGGTCTGCAGACTGGACTTCCATCCATTCATTCACTGATCTGTAGAAACCAGAGAATGAACTTATTTTCCACCGACACCTGGATCTGTCAGCGTGAAGTTTCCTGGATCAGAACCTCAGAGAACTTTCAGGTTCTCCGCCTTCCCATCTTCCTGTTCCCTCCACGCCCTCCTCATTCCAGAGAACTCTTTTTTCAGATTTTGTCATCTTCCTATTCCCTCCACGCCCTCCTCGTTCCAGAGAATTCTTTTTTTCTGATTTTGCTTCTTTTTTTTTGGTGGATTTTTTAATTGAAACAAACATTCAGTTTCTCAAACCCCGTCGTTCTGTCACGTCTTAAATTATTGTGAGTTGTGTCTCAGCTCTGGTGGTGGTTTGTTGTTGTCGTTGCCAGAGTTTGTCTTTCACGGTCTCCCTCTCTCCCTCCTCAGATGCGCAGCACTCGTGGTGTATCCATTTGGCCCGTGGGCTTCGTGGGTGGCAGAGCTTACGAGCGCCCCGTGGTGTCTGGAGGTAAAGTCGTGGGCTGGTACACGGGCTGGAGACCAGACAGATCCTTCGCCACAGACATGGCCGGTAAGAAATCGTAAATACAGTCCAGACCCCCCACCCCCACGGTTCCCCCACACACACTCACACACTCAAGAACCTCCATATAGAAAGACTGAGGAATCGAACAAGGAACGAGGTCCTCAATGTAAGGCAAAAGCACTCGTCACGCCACCACTACGTTGTCCAAATCATTTGCAGTGATTGTGAAATAAATATTTTTTGTGTCACACATTATATTTTTCTGTTGTTTTTCATTTCCCCCCTTCTTTCCTGGGAATATTTGGCAGGAAATGTGTTATTGATCGATCATTGATTACTGATCAATAATTAGAAGTCAGCTGGATTCTTTTGATACAATTGTGTTTGTGTAAAAATCTGATTTATTTTTAACTAAGATTCTGATGACTATTCTGACCGTCGTTCCCACACACTGCATTGTTTTGCCTTTTTTTTTTTTTTTGTTCCTTAGTCAAATCACACAGGCATAAATTCTGGAGACGTAAATAAAAGCGTAGCCAAGAGCTAGACAACAGAGAGGAGGAGAAAAACAAGTCAGCGGAGTGAAAATGAAAGTTGAAAGCCTCAGGAAACACAACTGTTTGTCTGATTTTTACTCAAACTTGAGGAGTTTTTCTTCGTCTCCTGCTCCACTACATCTACTCCTCCCTTTTCTCTCCCTCTGCCGTGACCTCCGTCCCCATGTGATCTTTAAATCCTCAAATGATATGATTTAAAAAAAAGGAAAAAAAAAAACAAAACAACTTCATCCACAGGCACAAAGACATTCCTGTGTTTCCAGGTGAAACCTCTGACGTCCACATTGATTCTCTGAGTTATTATCAGACTACTGCAGAGTCAAAGACAAGCCAAACATGAATCCATAAACCTATTCATATCCCTGTGTCTCCTGTGTCAAAATGCAATCAGAGCAGCGAGCGGCACTAAAGCTCCGTCTGACCCGAGAGGGAAAATAATTTGGCACGCCAACCAAACAATAACACCCTGTCACTTCAGCTCATTACGCCACTCCACCCACACATGCACTCAATTTAGAATCTGCAACAGGTTCTGTTTTTGTAGGGTTTTTTTTTTTTTTTGGTTTTTTTGTCAGATAATATAAACACAATAACAGCAAAGTCACTTCCGGTTGCAGTTCAGATTTCTGGGAAACACAAACAGATGTGACGTCTGTCTTAGAGGATCATTAAATTTTCAAAATAAAACATCTTTTAGACTTTTGTCTGTTAGTATCCGAGTCAGATTTGAAATATTCCCAGATGATCTTTAAATGACGAAAGTAAATGGATATGACTGGATTCTCTCAGAATGAGGTAATTTGGTAAAAACTGTGTCGCACTGAGGCCCAGTATCAAATGACCTGCGGACCAATACCGGTCCACAGACCAGGGTTTGGGAACCCCTGCTTTAAGGCGTTCCTTTGTAAATGACGGTGTTGATGTTGTTGTTAGGCCTGAGCTGAAGTTTAGCAGCGACACCTGAGAGAATCAAACTCCAAACTCCGTTGTCTTTCTAAGGCTGTTGCTAAAGCTACGGTTCCCCACACACTACTGGGACACACTACACCATGTTTAGTCTTTCACTTTGTGAATAAGTCAAAATTTGTAATCAAACTAAAATACTTGTAGTCCAGAAAGTTCTCGATCCAGTGACTCCACCACCAGCCGTGCAGCTACACCTTCTTGACGTAGAAGCTCTGCTCACTTTCTGTTCAAGTTCTGTTCATCTTATTTGATAAATGTTAAACCCGTGTTTGGCCTAAAGTACGAACTGAGTTTCTCTGTGAAGAACGAACAAACTGAACTTTTACTGTAGTAAAAAAAACAAAAACCTTGAACAACAACATCCTTCAGGCCCAGTTTCTACTGTAGAGAAACCCAACGGCTGCATGCATAATAATCCAAAAAAACATATGTGGAAACAGTTGATTCTATCACACACACACACACACACACACACACACACAGTCTGACCTCAGGGAATTATTGTTAATTAAACCACAATCACAACTGCAGTCCTCTCTAATTCCTGTCTTCCTCCTTCACCCTGGTTAAAATCTCATCTCCATCCTTCTTTTGTCACACACACCCACACACTCACGCACACACACTCACGCACACACGCACTGTAATTATCAGCCACATTTTTACTCAGCTCTACATAATTACACTGTCAATTTGCAACTCTAAGATTTACAACCGTGCCTTAAATACAGAGCATTTTCCCTTTGTTTTTTTTTTTTCTCTTCTTCTTTTGCTCGGAGAAAAACAACGACGCTCCCACGCCCCCCAACTTTATTCACACACACATTATTATTCATGGGATTTACAATAGGCTGACGGCAGCGCACTGACTGAGTGCCAGTCGTGTCCTAATAGTATTGTGTTATACAGTGCTGTATTGTTAGAGGACTGCCACGGCCCCCCTCCGCCCCCCCTCCGCCCCCTGTACCCTGTTCTCCACTGTCGCTTTTAGATCAAACACAAAAGAGCCAGAGACTGTGGGCACTATTGTGTCCCTGTGTGTGTGTGTGTGTGTCGTCCGCACGCCTGCACTTGAACGTTCACGGGAACACACTCAACAAAGCTCTCATTTTTTCAAAGAGTTCCTGAATTAATAAATAAATAAATAAATAAATATGAAACAATGAATAAAAAAATCTATAAATATGTAAATAAAAAAATATTTAAAATTTTACTGAATACTATTATTTTAGTGAATATTATTATAGCTATGTTGTTGTTGTTGTTACAAACACATCCTGCGATAATAAAAGATAAAAAAGACGATAAAAGACGAGGACAGTATAAAGCTACGTCAAAACGATTGTTTGGTTTTTTTTTGCGTAACTCTAGGCTAGCTCCCAGCCAGCGTCTAACCGTAGAAAGACGAGCCTCTTCACGACCGTGAGTTTGTTTCATCACCAAAGACCACGTCACGGCCCTGATCGCAGACCTGACCAGAAGTTTGACCCCGGCTAAAACCACCACTGACTCCGGTCGGTGGTTCGGTCTCCGAGCTCCAGTCTGTGAACCAGATGGTTGCCGATGGTCTTACTGAGGTGAAAATGAAACTGAAAGTGTTAGCGGCCGTTCATTCGCAGCTGTTCGTGGCATCATGAGCAGATAACAGATGGCGTGACATCAAACGCCCCGGTTTCAGCTTGGACGGACCTGAACGCAACACTGAAGTTTCCAAATCCTAAAAACAAAGTCGTGAGTGGATGTTTTTTAAACTTTCTCCTTAACCTTCAGTCCAAAGTCTCCCCTGGTGGTCGGTTATCTGTAGTTGATTGATAAAAGTTGTTGATTTTGCATGTCCCGGACCAAATTTCAGAAAAGAAACATCTTCATTCCAAGAGTGGAATTAAAGGAGAAATAAATAGATGAATACAATCAGTCACATGTCAGGAATTAAGTGGAAAACAAGGGTGTCCAGTCTGGACCCCCCCCCCCAGGACCCAGACTCTGGACCACTTTAATGTTCCATCACAGAGAGTGGCTGCGGGGCAGGAGATGTCTATCTGGTAATTGGTTCTGTATCTATCTGAGCTGCAGTTATCTCATTAGGATTAGCCTGGGGAATCACACACACACAGAGACACACGCGAAGCAAAAACACACCTGCGTTGTTATCAGGTATCTGTGATTGCGGACATTAGCTACCTGTGCTAAAAACGTTAGCATCCTGGACTAAAAACGACGGCACTTGCGAGAGCTTGTGACGACTGAAGGTATTTTATAGGGATCTACAGCTACAGTGTAGCATGTTCCAAACTTCTTGCGTTTAGCACTACTACATATCGAGTAGACCATTAATAAGAAATAAACGAGGTGTTCCAGCTGATGTGCTCGTATTGAAGCTTTTAATATAGAAATGTTGACTTTATACTAAAAGAAAAACCCTTGACAAAAGGACTCGTATTAGCATTAGCACGTGACAATTTCCTTCAGAGCTAAGCTAATTTATTAGCTCAAACATTTCCTTTATACGTCAGACTGCACGGTACACTATACTACACTAAGTACGTAACCCATGTAATAAAGTATTGTGTAATTGCAGTTTTAAAAACTTCAAAAAATAAGTGGCCTGTCCACCAGTGATACTTTAATTCAACAAATACTACAAGTACTGGTTACAGCTCAAAGAACACTGCAGTACGCCACCTATTTTTCTCGCAAACTCCTTATTAGCCGCGGCACACTTTGTCTCCCAGGTAATTAACTTCAGCCTGGATTTATGTGGAGGAGCAGGAGGTCTCTTCCTCCTTGTTCTATTTCAGTCTGCTGGCTCAGCGGGAGGGGCGGGGGAGAGTTTGTCAGCAAGGGAGAACGAGGAGGAGGAGGAGGAGGAGGTGCTGATGGGATTATTGTCGGAGCCTAGTGGGAGAATCCTGGGAGCTGCAGTGTGAGCTCATCAGGGAAATAACACGGAGGAGCAACGTCCGCACAGGAACGCGGTCTGAGAGACGAGACCTGATGAAGTGAGGACGTACAACAGAGAGTTCTTAAAAATAGAACAAAGTTTACCACAGATTTGAGAACCCTGTGTTTGAGGGGTTCTCACATGGACCCAGATGTTACAGATGATGAAGCAGTGATGAAGAGCAGCAGCTCCTGACCTTCAGACATTCTTCAGGAGGAGAAGATGAAGATTTACAAACTTAAGTTCAGAGACATAGAACTGACAAAGCCTTCAGATATCGTCTGGTGGATCTGAGTGGATGTGGATTTTATTACGAGTCTTATCTTTCCCTCTTGTCACTGACTGAACAATAAAGCAATAGTCTGGTTGTTCCTGTAAAACTGAAGTTAAAACAAAGAACAATGAAAATATAAAATATAAAATATATATATATGAAAAATCACATGGCATCTTTTTGACTCCTCCCCCTCTGAAACATCTGTTTCTACTCGCCTTAAGTCAGAACTCACATACAGCACGTACCTATGTCACTGAGCTACGCTAACTCAGGGGTAACAACATCATCTAGGACACGAAAATATCAGAAGAGTCTGACTTACGCCTGGAAGCCAGAACGAAAAAAAGTTCCCAAAAAAACAACATAAACGAAAGAAAGCAAATGTAGCACAAGCTAACGAAAGGCGTACAAGCTGCGAATGGAAACAAAGCCGTCGTCCACGAGTTCCCGTGTGAACTAGTAGGCGTGTTTTAACGCCGTACGTTGGAATAATGGAACAAGAGTTTCTTAACAAATTTATGGGACGCCACAGGTCGAAGACGTCGCAAAACCGAGGAGCTCCAGTATTAACTAACTAATTTATTAATTTAAGTAAAGAATGTGGCTTAATCTTGATAATTATTAACTGCAGTCATGATTATCATCATTATCATGATTAACCCTGATAAATCCACAGCTAGTCAGTGATTAATAGGATTAATTAACTTAACTTATTCCTAATTATTTTTTTTAAACGTGTCAGAATACTGTAGTACTTGCAGTAGTACCTCAGAACCACAGGTTTGAACCACTGATATTATTGCCCAGTGGCATGAGCACTAGCCGTTCCTCCACCTTGTGGCCACCACCAAAAATCACACAACTCCCGGCAGCAGGTCACCGTAGATCCAGTGCAAAGAGAATGTGTCTCCATCTCTTACTGAACCTTCGCAGCATCGATGTTTCTGCTCTCGACGTAATTATGTAACGTCAGATTATCATTTCCTTTCTTATCAGACTGATTAGATCTGGTTTGGGGTCAAACGTTAATCTTCACACTCCCTACAAACACACACACACACACACCGCCGCTGAGACGAGGCTTGAATCGCCTGCGACTTTCTCATGCTTATTTCCATCTCATCTGTGGTGCAATTACCGCAGGAGCGCGGCGGACCTCCGTGCTAAATGAATCTCGCAGCAGCCGTATCACTGTCATTAGATACACTAATGCACTCCATCATCGTCTGCTGTGATTATAATAGTCTCTTAATGTGCTTTTAATTCATGTTGGCCGACTCACCCTACCAACCTGGCTGTTTTTTTTACTTCCTCATCTCGCTCTCTTTCCTACTGCCAGGTTTCGCCGTAAACCTCCAGGTGATTCTCGCCAACCCGAGGGCCCTCTTCAAACGCCGCGGCTCTCAGCCTGGGATGCAGGAGTCCGACTTCCTCAAGCAGATCACCAAGGTCACTGACCTGGAGCCCAAGGCCAGCAACTGCACCAGGGTCAGTAATCTAGATGTTTTCTGTTACCATGGCAGCAGACGAGTGGAGTCATCTTGGCTTTTTAATAATGCCAGTCAAGGACCCTCAAGGACTGTAATTACACAGTGTGCCTATTTTTATTATGCCTTTCAACTGATTCATTGGTTTGATACGAGCCGAAAGGTAAAGCTGCAGATTGAACGACCACGAGCCGTGAACGACAGCCTTGGCTGCTTCCTTCTTCAGGGGTTGATACAGGGTTTTATTCTACATTATTATTTCAACACGTTTACAAGTTTAAATCCTCGCCGCTAGATGCTAACGCGGGAGGAGCATTAGTGGGACAAGGGTTTTGGCAGCAAATCTGTGGATGTATGATGTGATATTATTGCAGAAACCTACAGTATGTGGATGTGTATATATATATATATACACACATACATATATGTTAATGTATGTGTATATATATATACACATATGTATATATGTATATAAATATATATAAAAATAAATATATATAAATATATACATATGTATATATATATTGTAATCCGCAAATCCCAGGTTACTTACTAGGCCACCAATTTAACAATGCAGACTACTGCAGTAGTGACCCCTGACTGAAGGATTGGTGGGATATTGTACTACAACGGTGGATCTTAAATACTCTTTATATCGAGTAGAATTAGAATCCTAATAAATACAAGCATGGTTAGTGGATCAGTTCATCTCGGTAACTAACACATCATGTTAATCACGTTCTCCATCTGATAACTATCTTGTGGCCCAGTTATAAAAGGAACAGGTATTTAGCTCTGACAGGAATGTGGTTTTTGAGCAATGGCCAAAATCACTCGTCTCCCCAGACCAAAGCTGTGTGTCTGGTGTTAATCACTGAGACAGGCAGGGACATTTACCCCTATTGGGATTAACAAAAGTCAAAAAAAAAAAAAAAAAGACTAAATGACTGCCTGTGATTTCCGGTAACATTAAAAGAGAGAAAATTGTCAAGAATTACAAAGTGGACTTCCAGGTGCGTACTATACGTGTCAAGGGTCACAAAAAGCAATATGTAGCTTTTGTTCGCTATCAGGCGACAGTAATTGTGCTTCTCTTCACTTCCACCGGTCTCTGTTGAATACAGAGCAGGATTGATTGGTTGGATATTAAGTCTGTCGTTGGGCTGCGCTGACCTGCGAAAACGGAGGTGAATGACGCAAACGTGTGTTTAATAGAAGCCTGATTTATCTTCCTCCAGCGTTTGTGGCGGAGAGTCTGGTGCAGATATTAAACCGCCATCGTCATTATCACCATCCCTGCAGCAGCGAATCGCGAGGCCGCGGCTCGTCGCCGCCGTCGACAGCATGAGTTATGCTGGGAGCTGGTGGCGTAGTCAAACTTAGACTCACAGCTTGAATTGGATAGAAACGCTGTTATAAAGCTATCAATTTTAGTTGTGTGCTGTGACAGCTCAGATCGATGCAGCTCATCTGAAATTACCACAGTCCCTGTCGGCACTTGGTTTTATGAAGCCACTCATCCTCCTGACAAGCGTCACTGAGCGACCTTAAAGAACTTTTTATTTGCTTTGAGAAATGGATTCTATTATGTTTTTACCTTTTAAGAAAGGCGGCGGCTTAAATCGTCATTCCGCAGGACTCGTTTATTTAGTGTTTTCTGCTGTGGTGTGATTTGTTTTTCCGAATTCACATAATTTCTTTTTAAATTCAGGGACTTCCTTTGCGTGCTCTAGCGTTGCTGGAATCCGTGAACTGTTTGTTGTCGTAACAATATGCTTAATATCAATTTAAGAGAAGAAATCGTAAAAAAAATCAGAAGCGTTTTACTACTGAATAATAACTGAATAATTCATACTTGCAATTTCCAAAATAACCCCCCCCAGAAAATTCTATTTTAAAATAAAAAAAATTCAATACGAAATATCCAGTATTGCAGTATTCAGTACCTTTGACATCAGTACTGTATATAAAACATAGACGTTTCAACAACAACTAAAGTACAGACATGCAAATCAAGGTGTAATAGCATCACCGGCCAGCAGGGCCTGTCCTCAAACAACTCTTGCTCTTTCAAAAATGAAACAAAATTAACAGTGTTTTCACATCAAACATTGGGTCACTTTATTAGTGTAGCAGAGGCTAGCGCTAAGTGTTTTAGCCTTAGGTAAAGAACATCAACGAGTCTCGAGCCTAGGCTAGCTACACCTGCTCTGAACTGATCGGAAGCCTCAATAAGACGATAGATGGATTGGAGAACTGTCCAGGGTGTAACCCCGCCCTCGACATCTGACTACCGTGATTGGCTCGCACTCCCCCAATGAACTACCATTAAGTGTTTTCATAAATAATTGAAATGTCATAAAAATGAAAAGAACGTCAGACTCTCTTCAGCACCGAAGTCATTTCTTATACTTAGATTTTGCTTCAGTTCCGCAGAGAAATAAAAACCACATACGTATAACAGAAGTTTCAGTCCAGGTATTCTGTGACAGACAGAAGCATCTGGGGTTTTGACTGCCCTCCAGTGGGTAAACTCAAGCTCTCGGTCCATCGACAACAATAATAATAATAGCAACATCGTCAACTGTATCTCTATTCTCCACGGAGGAGCTCAGACTGAAATCAGGACTTAGTTCCTACGTCACCAGATGCGTACAGGTCTCGTAGCAGCACTGTGAATCCCAGGGTGGTTCTGGGTAAATGTTTCCCGCAGGGAATAGGATAAACGCCAACGCCTAGCGCCATCTTCCTCCGCACCAGGCCACCCACGGAGCGGCTGGATCATCATTCACAGCTGGCTGCCGCTGCCGCTGACAGCTCTGTGTTGAGACTATCATCATCATTATCAGCCCCATTAGGCTAATGGAGGTGTCCTGCAGCTGATATTAATACAGAACATTAGCAACCGATGACATCATCAGTCATCACCACCGCTGATAGTTGACACATGACACGAGCAAGGGCATGTGACATCATCAGACGCCGTCGTGTTCTGGTCGTGAAGGTAGTGAGATGTGACATCATTATTCAGAACAACATCGTGGTGTGTAAACAATCGTGGGACATTTGTTGTGAAGATACAAATACAACTTTTTCAACTGTTTGGACAAGAATGATGAGGTAAAGTTTTTGCTATTAACTTACTGTTATTATTATCATCACACACTTTCGGCTGCTCAGCATGACAGACAAGATCACAGACACAAATCATTTCCTCGTCCTGCTATTGCCTTTAAAAAAAAAAGCGTATCTTTTCAAAGTTGTATTTTGCATTTTCTCCACGTACACCGATGACTCCTGTGTCTATGTTGTCAACAAAGGACAGGAAGAGCAGAGAAAACGACACTTCCCCACCACACAGTCTACGTCGTGGACCAGTCCTAGCACCAAGTTCAACTAGAAGGTCACCAGATCTGCACCTGGTCGTTATAAGACCTGAACAAGGCTTAGAAAGTCGTTAATCAAAATCAAATATGGAAACTAACGACAGAGAAGCTGGTCTGAGATGACAAATCTGATTGGCCGGTGGTAATCAACAAAGTTTTCGTACACTTTTCACGACTGGACAGTCGGTCATTAATTTGAATCACACTGGTTGACGTCAAGAACCAGATGTTTAGACGTGAGACCCCCTAAAATTCACAAATTCCGCGTCCGGCTTCCACCACAGCAGCGATAATAAGAACTGTTTGTACGACACCTTTCATGAGTCCTGACACAAATGTGTTTGGGAGAAAATCTTTTAGAAATAATGACCAAAAAACACAACAAATAACAGCCAATTAAATAAGAACAATCACAGCAGCAGCAGCTGTGGAGCGTCGGTTCATATCACACAACCCTCCGCAGCAGATGGATGTTTCCACGTGCTTTGGTTTATTTAAGGTTCCCTGATATTTTTAAAGGCTCCTGGTTTTGTTTTTCACCTGGCCACCTGTTCCATTACTGAAGAAAAACGAAGACGTTTAGTGAACAAAAACTGCCCACTGACGGGACAGAAGGATGGAAATCCATTAACTCTTGAGATGCTTTGAGAATCAGATCAACCAAAGGCAGACCTCAGATCTGGGACTGATGTTGGTCAGAGAGGCTTCGAGCCACATTCATAAAACAGAAATTAAGTTTTGAAGGAACCCGAGACTCGATGAAAATGAAATAAACATCAGTGTCATTTTTCAGTCTGTAACAGCAAACTTGGCTGTGGCCCATTTCTTTCCTCCGTCTTCCATTTTAATCTACACCTTCAATCAATCCATCTACCTATTCCCCATGTCCTTTATGGGCTTTTTACGCTCCCTCCTCTCTTTTCTATCTCCTTTACCTCCTGCGCTATCATCTGTCTCCATCTGTTCCTGCCTCCCCCCACCTTTCTCGCCCTGTCACTGCTGTCTGTAGCCATTACTCTGCCGCTCTAACTACATTACACTTCCTGTCAGTCGTCTCCAGATACTGACCCGTGCCGTCAGATGAGCCTTTCTGGCCTTTTCTTGTCAAGGGCAGGAGTCTGCGGTTTCTGTGATAGAAACCAAAGGTTCTCCTCTCAGCACGGACAGCTCCTGCTGTAAAAGGTGTGTTACAGATGAGGAGAGGTCACGACGGGGAATGACAGACAGATATATAGACGGCTGAACCCCAAAGAGCGCCAGCAGGATTTTACCAAGCCTGAAAATAACAAAAATGTATCCAATATTCACTTGAAAAATAATGGTCAGTCAGATCCACCTACAGTACTATATAGTACTATAAGTAAGGGAATATACTATAGTTCAGGTACAGCCCGGTTAGATGTCAGGTGGGCCGGACCAGTACAATCATAAACATAATTACCTTAATGCAAACAAGTACAAATATATTAGACAAATGTATATTATATGTATGTATTTTTTTTTCCACTTTCAACATTCATCAAGTGGGCCCAGGCGGGCCGATTTTGGCCTGCGGGCCTTATCTTTGACCCCTCCACAATAGTTTTTCCCAAGCCACCAAGTTCTGGACAGTTAACAAACAGAACCGATTGTTTCTGTATGAGATTCGACCGATCGACCAACCAATGATCAGAACAAACAGAACCGATTGTTTCTATATGAGAGTCGACCGATCGACCAACCAATGATCAGAATCAGCCAATGACCAACAAGCACAAAAACACATCTGGATTTTACAGCCAAATATTTTCCTTTACAGTGAGCCAAGAAAATGTTTGAAATATATGTCACAGTGAGGCTGACTGGTGTGAGCCAACGCAGTGTCATTATAAAGACAAACCTAATTCAACACCACAAAGGTCATCGTTCATCCCCGCTGTTTAAAGTCTTCTTCACTAGCGTGCATTTTTACTTTTCTACCTACGTATGTTAGACAATAAAAATAGCCATAAAAAATAATAAAAAAAGGCGAAATATATTTTTTCAGGTGAAAGACTAAATATCGAAAGAAGAATATATGGTTAGCTAATAGATTTAAATAACTAGTTAAAAAAGTGAACCTAAATGTTGCATTGTGCAGGTGATGATATTTTAAGCGATTGTTGACAGAGAGATTTGTTCTTTTAAAACAATTCAATTCAATTTACAATTCTACACTATCACCGTCTGTGCATCTATTTACCACAGAGTGAATATTAAATGTCATCCTGCCCAAAATGTCTCCTCCTGATTTAGAGAAACACATTTGCTCTGCCCTAATCCTATAAGGAACGACAAAAACACACCCTCGCTCCTGCTAAAAGTACTCATTAGCTCGAAGGAGGAGAAAAATCAGAGTGAGCGAGCGGATGTGAAAAACAAGTGCAGACGGCTTGAGAGGAAAAGTGAAGGTGATGGGAGGAGAATACAGAGGGGGAGGAGGAGAGGGGGGGGAGGAGGTGTGGGCCTAGGGAAACAGGGAGGGCAGTCTGGCTGCATAATTGGCTGGTGTTCACGTGCACACACTCACATACCTGTGCAGTGGTCCCTCTCCACACTGCTCTGCAGTGATGCTTTAGCGGCTGCTACATTAGCCTTGTTAGATATGCAAAGTGGGCCAATTAGTGGCACAGTGAGCAGGAAGTGACACGTTCCACCTGAAGGAGCCCTGCAACAACACTGGCAATAAATCACACCACTGCGTTTCCTCGTGTGGGCATGTGTGTGTGTGTTGCTCTGAACATGAAAATCACACACACACACAAGAATTAAAAGCTAATTAGCCTGAGCATAAAAAAAACCTCACAAATACAAATAACCTCACGTGAACCCCCGAGGAATCAAACCCAGAACCTCTCCAGGAACACATCCATGTGGTTGTGCCGCCGTCGCCCCCACCTGGTTATTGCTGTGAAATTGGCTGCAAACACAGGACGAGCAGCTGCTGCGAATTGTGCGTCGCCTTCAGTTGATTCTGTTTCAGTCTGTGTGTTGTTTATGGAATTTGTCCTAATGGAACAAACGGTTCCAACACCTGAGCCTGGAACTGGAACCTGAGCCTGGACCAGGCCTGAGATCCTCAAGTACAAGATGTGGTGTCACACACACACACACACACACACATACATATACACGTGATATATAAACAAACTGTTCTTATTTCAGAAAAACAACAACAAGAAGAAAATATTAAATAAATTCCATTTCAAGATCATTGAACGTAAAACATTGTAAACACAGACACACAGCTCCAGGGTTCAGTTTGCTGCACACAAATAGGCGGCCCGTGAACCAAGTGTGGTCCACAGCCCAACAGTGTAGGTCATTGTCAAGGAGCCAAAAAGTCTAAGTCTAGAAACTGATTTTCTAAGACATTAATGAAAGACTCCTATTGGACGACACCGATCACTGAACCAAACTCCAGCAAAAAAACACTAATAAACACTAACAAGTTCAAGCAGAAATAACTAAACAAACTGTTAACAATCAAAACATTCTGACCAGACGACTGAAGTGACTCTGGATTAAAGCTACGGATTAAAAACTATTGAAAAAAAACGTATAGATTTTCAAAGCAGTGGCAGATTTCTGACTCTGGTCATTATGTTTACTAAGTACTAAAACCAGATATTCATATATTTTTAGGAATCAACAATCATTTATTTTCATTATGGACACACACATGATGAAGTTTTAGCTTCAAAAACAACAGTTTTTTAAAGTCAACATCGACGAACAAACTACAAAACAAATCAAAACAAAAGACCAAACAGAGGGCAGCCATTTTGATAATACCAGCAGCAGCAGCTGCAGCTAATTCTCCTCTTTGATTAATCACAGGTTCAGGTGGAGACAAGATTCAAATTTCAGATTCAAAAGTATGAATTCACACACATTTCACCACAATCTCTGCTGTAGAAAATGTTGCCTCATCAACTCACTGAGCCAAACCTTCAGGCCTCATCAACCTCACCATGGTTAGCAGGTTGTCATTAGCCTTGTTGTACTCTCTGTTTTTTTAGCCTCTAAATGGAGTCAAAGAAAAAAAACTGCTGGTGACTTACCTTCTCTCTCTTCTTCACTTCATCCTCGGTGAATTCTGTCCTGAATTGTAAAGTATCCAATAGCGGGGAAACAAAATGAAGTGTATGCTAAAAGGAACCCCAAAAACCTGATTGACAAGGGGACAAGAGCAGGTACAGGAAGTGGGCGTGGCCAAGACACAGGGTTTAAAAAAACTTCAGGAAAAGGAAGTTGGAAATGTTTGTTAAAAAATAAGGCAGTTACAACAACAAAAAACCACCTTTGATACACAAAACACTGATTTTTAAATCATGGGTGAATTAAATACGAACATGAAAATAATTTATATATTAATAATAAATAATTTACAAAATATAAATAATACAATAGCGTAAAAATACTAATTGCAACCAACTGAGAAAAATTTTGATTTTTGTTAAATAGAAAATAAAATGTGTTCAAATTTAATGAAGAAATGAATTTAAATATATTGTGATTTATATATTGATGTATAAAATAAATTGTGTAATAAAAAGTGTCAATTTTCAAATAAAAAATGCCCAGAAAAAAAATAGACAAAAATAAAAAAAAAATCATAAAAACACATTAAAAAAATCAATTTAATAAAATACTGGAAAAAAATGTCATTCCTTAGAAAAATAGAAAAAATTCCAGTTTTTCTCTCCGTCAGTTTCATGTTTCCTCATCTCTCTCTTCTTTTCCTCCTCCAGGTCCTGGTCTGGCACACTCGAACAGAGAAACCTCACCTCACCAATGAGCCCAGTCATCGAAAGGACACCATCGTCATTGAGGTGTGAGGTGTAGGAGCAGAAGGAGGAGCAGAATCTGCTGTCGTCCTGGAGTTCTTTTTCTTCAACTCAGTCTGGTCAGGACAGACTCAGACTCAGACTGAGAGGAACTGCATGATTTAAGACATCTGGATGTCTTTCAAAACATTTCTGGGTGGTGGTGGGAGGTGGTGGGGGGGCGGGGTGCACGGACCTGGACTTGGTCATGTCAAC